TGCACCACGTGGAGGTAAGTCTATCGCACACCCCATTTTGAAATTTAATTTAGTAGAAGGATGGCTTAACGTTACAATTAATAGTCAAAATAGAGCACATCCAAGTAAATACTGGCTAATTCATTTCCTCCTTTTTGTACCTTCATCTTCCATGATTGTCTCTAAGACACCTTTGAGAATTCTGATGTAAAAAGTTTGGCGGATTTCGAATATGCTGTAAAATTGTGTAGAAAAGTTGCAGGTTATTAATCAAAAGGCACACACACACACACACACACACATAAAGCAGTGAAAGAGGCAACTATTGAGTCACTGTAACCCACAACACCCTCAGGAGGCTCCTAAATCTGGTAGCAGAAACCACCAGCCCATTTTCAATTAGATGCTTATTACCCTAAAACCAACCAACCGCTCTTTAACACAGTCCGCTAACGTAGAGTTCCTCTCGAAATCTAAATCAATTATTTCTCCAAACGGATGATTACAAAGTTATCTGAATGACGCCTTTTGCCTACCTTGAATATGAATTCTATTCGGCAATGCCCCAAAACTAAATACCATGAAGGCAGAAATTCCATCTATGAGAAATGGACCAATTCTAAGATTGACCATGGTATTTCGTTTAAGATTCGACAAAAACTACGCGAAGCAATTACTAAACCATAATTCAAAACTCCGAATAATTGGTTCACGAAGATTTCAAAAACACAGGGATACCATTTGTGGCTCAATCTGCTTAGAAAGTTTCTACCTCAAAGTTACCTTACTGTAAAAGTTGCATTGGAGCTACAGATCGCCCCCCCCCCCAATCAAAACCATACTTTCAATTTGATCAATGCACAGTAAGAGTGTGTGTGGGGGGGGGGGGAGGAGTATAAAATTATAACAAACCCCCCACCTTCAGGATCGGAACTGGATCCACCAAACAATGAACCCATCAAAAAGGCGGAGGGGTCACCATTGGATGATCGCATAGCAGCCTCCTGTTCCCACTGATTCAATTGCCTATTTGTCTCCATATGCAGCGCCAAGAGGGTGGGGAAAGCCAACCTCAGAGCTGTATGCGCAACGAAGAAGAGATCGGTTAGAAGGGGGAAGGTTTCAGCCTTTCCTGCCTCCTCTTTAAGCTCCTTGTGTTGGCGATTCAGTCTTGTCTCCTCAACCAAGTCTAGTGGGAAAAAAAGGAAAAGCAATAGACAAACGAGTGACATGGATAAATTTGAAATTGCTGCTTAACTCATGACCCAACAGTCTTGTGTTGCATGTGGAGCCTGACTAGCTAAGCGCGCTCTGGAGCTGAGAATTTAGGTCTTAATAGAATAAGAATTAAGACAAAAATGTGGAAGAGAATAGATGGGCGCGCCTTCAATATCTGTTGACAACATTCCGCATTAATTAATAGAGGCAAAAGAGACCTCGTTGTAAAAGAGGAACGGCAAAATGAGTAGACCGAGATCACATCTAGAGGGAAGACGTGATTGGTCGGTCGTGACATGGAATTTAAGAAAATAATGACTGATCAAACAGCAGTTGAGATTTGAACGCTTCTTCAAACGATTACTACTCGGAAGAGGCTGACAACCCCGAAATACCAAGGGAAAACTTGCGGCCAGTCTTAAATGAAAGATCTTCTCCACCAATGACTGCGAACTTGAAGCAACAGGGATAATGATAATTAAGTATCATAAGTTGTTTCATATTTTAACATCAAAATTAGCCTAAAACTACGGAGGTGTCACACCTTGTGACCCAGCGTACCTTATAAAAGACAGATGGTAGAAAGAAACACTTACCAGGTAAAATCTTGTGTGCCTTAGCAGAAACCACGAATTCGGGATGGACCATAGACAGGGGGGATTTGGGTTGTTTGAGTGCACCGGGTAAAGCGGCTTGATGACTAAGGAGGGGACCACACAGATTCACTGCCAAAGCAGCCAAATTATTGAGGAATCCGTCGCTTGCGAGATGTCTCATATCTTCGTTGTTGGGATCAGCACTGCCCATCGTATTGGCCAGTTGTTTGCGCTTTCGATTGGCGTGAAGACAAGCCCCAAACCATTCAAAAAGACTGGACTTGATAGAATCATCCTGCTTTCCAACTCGAAGAAGATTCTTGAAAAGAACCGTCAGTTTGGAGTCCATTTCTCCAGTCAGCTATAGGGAAGAGGAAAGCAAAGATGATTGATGAATGGGGTGTGTGCGCAGTATCTTAGTTATCTGCATCATTTAGAGGTCTGCCATTCGCCTATTGAAATAAACAATCCCGGATTCCATTTAGACAAGTGCCTTCTGACAGTCGAAAACTACCCTCTAGAGACTGGAGCGATTAGACAAGAGTGAAATCTCGATAAATTTTAGTCTAAGAAATAGTGGTCACGACCTAGCTATCGATGGAAGAATCTCGGTTTACTCCTTCAGTCATTAAGTGCTGGATGCCTCACAAATGTTGTCAAAAGGAATTCTGCCTAGGGAAAAGGAATCCAGTTCTCCCTTTCTCAATGAGCAATCGTCTCAATATCTCCTAACCTCACTCGCTACAAGACCTATTCTTTTTCACTCACCAGAAGACGCCACATGCACCTCCACCTGGTCTTTGTTAACCTGAAGTTTTTAATAAAGACAAAGACAACGACTAGTAATAACGAAAGTACCACCACTCGTTGTGACATCGTGCTGAACAACGAAAATCGATGGTATTATTCAACCAAAATTCGGGTTGGAAATGCGTAGCCCCTCGCCTTGGCTTAGAGACTGTAAAAAACACTATTTCATTCAGCCGTGAGCCGACAATCATTTAGAAAGTTTCAAAAAGATATCGGGTGAACAACTTGCATCCGAAGGTGTTAAAACAAAATGGCATCGCACGCATTTGATTGTGTAAGGTAACCTAAAAAGCTGTCTATTATCGATAATGACGCAATTAATTCACAAATGCCTCCCCCCCCCCAAATTGAACCCATTGGCTGATCTCAATGGGTCCTCGCCTCATTTGATACTTTTACCCAATAGAAAGTCGAATTTCTTCTTATTTTAGGTAAAAAAGGGGTTTGGCCAACCCAGAATTCAAGAGTAGGAATTAATTGGACTGGACATCTTAGCTGGTAATAGGATGAGCTGATTTTGCACTCAGACATAATCATCAACTCAATTCGCCTTGTCACTTACCTCAAGGCCAATTTAAAGGTTATAAGTCACATTAAAAAAGAGGGAAAGATACCCCCCCCCCCGCCACACACCGACCTATATAATTAAACTTACCCTCCAAATAGTGTTCTTATCTGCATCTACAGAGGCTTTAATAGGTGTTTGATCTGTGAAGAATTCTCCCATCCAAGAACGACCTCCGCTGTTAGATTCCATATAGGAAACTTGGTAGGAGAGTAGAGGCAAAAGGGGACTTGGAATTAACAAACGACCCAACACGCCATCCTCATAGCGCCAGCCCACTTCACGCTGCGATCCCTCCTCAGGGAAGGAGAACTCCAGAAGCAACTGAAAAAAATTACAAAATAAAGAAAAACAATAAATCACCCTACGGACATTAAGCGATTAATTGAATTTGTTCCTTTCATCTAACACCTACTTTTTAAGCTTTGCCAACGAATTAGTCACATTCTCACATTACCAGTTATTGCCTTTTAACACGACCTCCCCCCCCCCCCCCCCCACCTCCAGCAAATAATAATGCCACTAACAATGTATCTAACCCATCTAAGCTCCAAGAGTTAGGAGATATTCGATCCAACCATCACTAAGTACCCCCACGAGGCTACTTAGTGCATAAGAGTTGAAAAAAAAGAAGAAATTGAGGTTAGTGTTAGTTAAACTATGTATACTACAATAGTACTTGAATACAAATGAGTGAATGCGGGATGTAAGATAATAAGTACTTTAATCAAAATGTGGCCAGAACTCGCACTTATGTAGAGACCTATAAAATAAAAAAAGACAAATGCAGTGTCGTGGAACTCAATTAGCGTCTCCTAGTGGTTCAGGAATATCTCCGTTATTAAGTTGCTGACCGCAGAGTATGAACTGGTTATACATCCAACAACCTCATGACGCGGGATTACTAGGTCATACGAGAGTAACCAAATACGGTTTGGAGATTAAGTCGGTGAGTTTATTGTAAGTCATGATGGAAAATTCCTTTCAACTGGAGAGATCACCGTAGCCATGGCGATGGTTAAATCACCAAATACAATAAAATGAATTGAATGGGACTTGATCGTAAGTTGTGCTTTTCGCTGTTGATGGAGCAAGGAAAATAGATGAATAAACCTTGACCAAATTCAATGCTAATTGTAAGAATGGGCGGCTATAAAACCACGGCGCAATAAAACTTAATTAATAGGACAACGGCGATTTGCCCAAGAATAGTCATTCACCTCCCAACCAACCAGGCCTGAGGTAAAGTTGAACATAACCGAAAATTCTTCCGCTAATTTAAACCTTTTCACGTCTATTGGCCTCTAATGGTCTTTCCAGAGGGCAGAAACTTTTGCATTATTCCATTAACAAAATAAAATTTACGAATACCCTAGCTTATTGTAATTAAATAGTAAGTATCCGGTTTTTTTCAAAATGAGCCGAATGTTAACTCAAGATTAAATAATCGATACTCAGAGTCAAACTTTCAGGCTCAACACGAAAGACTGCAAGAATTGATTCGATCGATAATCCTTTCTAACCCTAATTGAAGGCACAGATTAATAGAGCTGTTGCAAGCAAAGCAGCTTGCACACATTCAGACAAGTAGAGACCTCAGATATTTTATACCCACGTTGAGGCGGCAAAGCTAGTGAAAAATCGATAATTTATAGGCCCCAGAAACACAAAAGCCAAGTACTCAAAATAATTAGTGAGAAACAAAAATATTTGTTCACTTTGTAATGAAGGGAGGAATACAGTAAAAGGCTCCAGACTTGGACTAATTTAACTCCAACAGGTAACCGCTTTTGAGATAATAAAAGTAATAGTTACTATCGGACACAATTAATTACATTGTTTCTGTCCTTTCGAAACTACGAAAAAATTTTAGATTAGAAAAAATAAAGCTTAGGTCAAGAGTGGAAGTTAATCGAGCTATTCGCAATTGATTCAATGCAAATTGATGACAATGGACCTAGAGTCCTTATTGTTCAATAAAAACTCCGTAAGGTGACAAGTACTATGATTGACCTTGCAGTTTGTGTTGGAGATTCAAAATTCATATGTGATTACTGTTTGATTACGGCATTATATCTAGTCATTAATTTTGAGTTTATGGGCTGACTATTTATTAACGCATTGTCGTAAGTAAATCTATAGACATTGGCCCTAATTCAGCTAACCAATGTATTCAGACATTTCACCATGACCTAATTGAGTAAATTAGGGTGGATAATTTTTGACTTTGGTCGGCATGTGATTCTGTTTTAACTGGATACCCTCGGAAATTCAGTTATCAGTTAGAAGAGTCAGTGTTCCTAACGGAGGCATTGTTTACAATCTATTTTCAATGGAATCGAAGTGTGTGAAATGCACGATACCGAGTCTAATCCATGCATTGGGACGCAGTGCTGTTAATTTATGCTCCTAACACAATATTCAATATATTCTGGATCGATCAAGCCACCAAATAGTTCTTAATGTAAGAGGGACAAAATTCAAAGCACATCAACATGCCTTTTGAAACATTCAAAAGAGTACATTTGACGTCAATACCCGTTCGGAAGAGAGACTGTTTGGAAAGAAGAAAAATAACTTAATTTTGAGGATCTAAATAGCCCGAGTTTTACGCTGGAAGCTTAAAACTAATTTGATAGTATAATTAATAATATGATTCACTATAGTTAAACCATAACGAGAGAGCCACGTTTCAGTCAGTAATAAACAGTGTAAAAAAAGCTAAGAACGGAAGCAAATAAGTTGTGAAACGTGATTCGCAAATCAAAGGTGTTAACTTTCGGCTGTAGCAATAATAATTAAGGCCAAAACAAACCTTAGCAGTAGCAGGATATTTGGATAGTAGAATGCAGGCATTAGTAATTCCATCTCGGTCAATTTGGAAAAGTAGTCGAGCGTTTTTAGTTGGCCCGGGTGGTTTATTTTGTGCGGAGAGCCGACTAAGGATATTCTGGAGAGGATCCGTGCTGGGCGCAGGAAGGTAACTATCCGCTTCTATTTCCTTCAGTTTTGCCAGCAGACCCTTCATCAATGGACGAAGAGAGGTGACCGCGCCATCAGAATCACTTACGGACAAAATTCCGGCGAGTAAGTTGTCAATGGCGACAGCGTTGTCAGCATCAGCTAGACAAAATAATTTTGAATACTTGGAGACATATAGAATCTCAAAAATGAGATAAATAGAATTCAGAGGGCAAGAGAAAACCTCACAAGGCTCGCACACGTTTTAAAATGAAGAGTCGAATAAAATGAAAAGCTTTTCGATATTGTCATCGAGCCTCTCCTCTAATAGACTCTCCGAAATAGAACTAAGAGCCTAAGAAAATAAGAAATTTTGAACTAATTAACACCACGATGAGGTTAATATAAGGAGTACAACCTCACAGAGACAACACGTCTGCAAAACTCAGTGACAAAAGCTTAAATGAAGATTTCACTTAGGATTAGTATGAAAAGTTCTATCTCCCTAAATAATCAGATTACAGAGAACTAGAAAAGATAGAAACAAAGTTTGTGGTTTTATTAGGCTGATAATAACGAATCCCAAGTCTAAACAAGTGAAAATAGCAGACAAATCGACGAAGTACGAAGAGGGTAGGGATGCTAATTTCGAAATAATGGGAAGCAATGTGGTCACACAACAGACAAGCTACTGTTCACTGAGTGCAATGAGCGGTAGGAACTACTAGTGTCCAATTGTAGGTTTCAAATTAACGAAAAAGGATGCTTGCAGCACAATGAAACAGAATGGGAGCATGAACACCGAAATCAGATTCAGAGAGAGTCCATACAAAGGATCAATTGAGAAAGTAAAAAAAGCTCCTTGAGATCAGAAAAAAAAACAAGAAACTCCAAAACACATGGTCAAATTATTCCCTCTGCTAAATGTATCAACTTGTACAAAGAAATAACTTCTTTCGAAGTAAACTGGCATATACTACGATGAAATAATAAGTAATATCAAAATATGGCAAAAAGGAATAAAACTCACAATGTATGTGAGTACAATTGAGCACAGTGTTTAGGAGACTCAGGGCACAATTTTCCAATTCCAATTCAGTGTCCAAGAAGAGACAGAGAGACGCTTGTTTAAAAATTTGAACTTGACAGCTTTTGGCAATTTCAATGGTAGTTTGGCACTTAGAGTTTGCAAAGTCAAACGAGCGGCGGAAACTTTCAAAAAGATAAACCATGGGATCAAGCTGAAAGGCAGGATCTGAGAGAGGTGAGGCTTTGGGGCAAATTCGATCAGGAGGAAACTCTCTCATTTGAGATCGTTCAAAGAGGAGCTAAAATGCTGTGTTTAGATATGGGAAAAATAACTTACATGCTCAAGACAATCGAGCGTGAAATAGCCCTCAGGCGTAACTACATCACCCGAGAATATTACCGATGTTCGGTTACTAGGGACATCTACAATGAAAATCAATGTAACAAAAATATACATGAAAGAAAATTGACAAATTAAAAAAGTTGTCTTACCTTTAGAACTAACCAAAAATATTTGTTCTACGATGCTGCTAGTTTTATGAAGCGCATCAGAAGCACTTGGAGACTTAGGAGGCATTTCAGCATTTGGAATTTGTGAAAATGGATTTTCCATTTTTATAATTCTACTAGACAGAAAATCTTATCACAATATTAGGCTATCACAAACAGACAAAAGAGAATATCTTTGAGAACGGTAGGTGATTTAAATTTGATTAAAACATAGTTGATACATATAATGTTTAAATTAAATCAATAAAATATTTCTTTCGTTTCTAACTTCAAAATATAGCTTCATTTATCACAATTAAAATATGCATTGCCTCACTATATTTGAATATGCATTCTATCTTTTTATTCTACAGTTTTATTCAAAACAGAATATTTTAAGCATCGATTGATAAGTTTAGTATTGTCTAACATGGATTTTAGTGATTATGCCTTCATCAATTTCAGTATGTTTTGTGGAGCATACTCCTGTACATGACCGAATTAGGCACGAATTTGTAATTGTGGAAATAAGACTGAAATTAACTATGGGAAAATTCGGTATGAATTAAGAGGCTACCTGGATTATCGACGTCTGATACTTGAGCCACATTGAATGACAAATATTTTGACACTTTTTCCACTTATAAATATATACTTTCTGCATTGTTGCTACAATAAATTTATTTTTCGTAATCTCCTGATGGCAAGCTGCAGTTATTCGTATTGACTGCGACTTTTAGCGGTTCGCTACACTAGTAAGCCTTAACTATACTCAAAAATATCATTGGCAGCTTCCCATATGTTTGAAAAGACCCCCAAAATGGGATAAGCTACCACAAAGCTATAGATAAAACAGACGTATATGATTTTATTGGGTATTGTGGGATTAAACGCTGTGTTTTTCGGTGCAGTAATTATTTGATATCGAGGGTGCGCCATCGACTTACCTCCACGTGGTGCACCCTGGACAACGCATATTTATACTGCAAAAAAAGTCTATTACTCGGCATTAGTTTCGACTTCGATTTATTATGATTAGCTTGAAACAAGGCTATAAGAGAAATCGCCCTCGTCAGGGCGAGTCGTGACGTCTTCAGATCCTCCAGTGGAAATCTGGAGGGATGTCACAGGACAAAAAGATCCAAGTCCAGAAAATCCTACAAACCTATGATGTTGAAATTTCCACAATTATGGAAGCAAACATTTCGGATGAAAAACTGAAGTTCTACCAATTCCCAGGTTACACCCTGTATCTTCTACCTAAATACCGGCAAGTTGCAAGTGGAATTCTAACTGGAGTAAAAGAAGGCCTCACCTCACACTACGATCTA